CATGAAAGTGTAGTGTCAAAGAAATGCTGCACAGACAGCCAACTAGAAACCCAGTCCCCATGTCCTCAGTGGGAGCATTGTTCCAATTATGATGTTATAAGCTGTTAGTTTCATTACTGCCAAGATCACAGGAAAGCAGATCCTGTAAATATCTCCCAATGCCATAAAATCTGCCCAAAATGTGGTGACTTAACTTAAAAATTTTTATCCTACTTTTTTGGATGCTAGCAGCTCCACCCTAGCACCTTACAAAGAGTTAAAAGAGCCTGAGCAGAACAGTCTCCTGGTTTTTATACTAAAGCTTTTATACTAAAAACTTTCCTTCTTGATTGTGTTATACAAACAGATGTGTTCTATTTCCTTCAAATTCTGACAGCGTCTTCTCTGAAGTTCTTATCTAATAATGGAGTTTTATTAGATAATTTGAAGCATCCGTTTCCTAGGCCTTTGCAGCTTTTTGATGCCACTACCTGCAATTTCTTGGTTTGGAGCCTTATTTCTTCAACCTCAGAATGAGCGGAGTAGAGATCTTAGGCTCCTACAGTCTAATTATATACCTTGACATTTAACTTGGAGCAGACATTTTGAGTCTTTTTATCATGATATATTGTGTATTGTAAATTATATGTTACAGGATCATTATCCTACCCGACCTTAATCCTCCCTGTAAAAACAAACCCTCTCCCCATATAAGGTCATTTAGATTTGGGGATTTAGGACATGAACATCTCACAGAAAGGGGGGAATGTTGTGTTTTTGCTAGCAGACATTGAAAGTAAAATTATATCTTCAGTATGCAAGTACAGAATGTCATTTCAATATCAAGGTGAGGAAATAAAAAATTGAGAAAAGATGATGATTTGTGATGAGTAAGTGGATTTTCAGTTGTCATGTTTTAATCATGCCAGTCCTGGGTATTTGTGGTGTAAATTTCCTGATCTTCAATTTTGTCACCTGGATGATAAGCTTAGAGGGCTTTTCTCAGAGTACTCTTCAGGAAAGTTTATGTTGATTTTTATATCAACATACAGCATTGTAATTTCTTGGCTTAGAATTCGTTAACACCGAGGGAGAGTTGAGGTTTTAATCATTATCGCTTAAATCAACCTATTTTTCTCATGTGCCTTTGTGTTGGTCATTAAACGAAACTTAAGGTAACCTCTGTAATTTTTTTTTTTTTTTTTTTTTTTTTTTTTTTTTTTTTTTTTTTTTGCTGTGGCCCCGAAAGAAGGAAGCACTGCTCTCTTGCAGGCTACTTCTTACCTACTACATATGATATTGTCAGTTGGGGTGGAGACGTCATTCCAATTGGATAATTTAACCCCTTAATGAGAAGTTATAGCTTCAAAGGCCTGTTTTGAATATTGAACATCACACTATATCAAGTCTGATCTCACAGGTGGTGACAGGGTATTAATTATATCTAATTATATCGATGTCTTCATATAATAGATTCTGTTGAAGATGTTAAAAAAAAAAAAAACCTAGTCAGTAAGGTGTTAACAAATAGTCTGTTATAGCTAGAAGAAAATGGGTGAAACTGAATTTGACTAGGTAACATTTTATCACTTTCAATTTTAAGGAAGAATGGTTGGTTAGTATTTCCTGTTAAGAATTCTTTTACGCTAAAAACTTTTCTTCTTGATTGTGTTGTATAAATAGATGTGTTCAATTTCCTTCAAATTCAGATAGAATCTGTTCTGAAGTTCTTATCTAATAGTGGAATTTTATTGTATGATTTGATGTCAAAAATTATTACAATATACTTAGAAATATATACCCTTTGGATGGATGACTGTATTAGACATTTCCTTTTCTTTTTTTCTTTCTTTCTTTTCTTTTTTTTTTCTTGAGACATGGTTTCTCTGTGTAGCTTTGGCTTTCCCGGATTAGCTTTGCAGACCAGGCTGGCCTTGAACTCAAAGAGATTCACTTGCCTCTGCTTCCCTGAGTGCTGGGATTAAAGGCATGTGCCACCTCTCCTGTCTATTATATATTCTTTTAATTGAAAAACTTATCATTTTATATTTTGGACAGTCAGGGTTTATCAATATTGTATATGCTATAATAGTGGAAACTATGTGTACTCTTATCTGTCTATTTTTTACTAATGAATAAAATCTTATAACTTAGATGATTTAATATAAAGCTTCATGTACAGGCAAATATTGTATGACACATTCTGAATTGTTACTCTATAAGTTAGATAAAATCATTATTTTTTTTACATTGAATGCATTTGTGTGTGTCATCAAATAACTAATAAGGTATAAAGAAATCATTAGCCTTTCTTTAGAAAGATATTTAAGCTAGTGAACTATAACATTCCAAGTTCTTCTGAATGTCACTTGGAGTTCTGGGGGATGCCTCTCTTTTGAATTCAGAAACCATAAATTGAATATCTTGATATAGTTGAGTAAGCGGGAAATGAGCACTGCTTTGCAATCGACTGGTAGATGTGATCCTAAGCAGGAGGACAAGGGTGGAGAGGACAAGAATGAATAATAAATGCATTGGAAAATGGTTCTTAGCATGTGGAGAATAGCAACACTCACTCTAGATTCTGGGGAGACTGCCTCTGTTTATTCATTATGCTTCCTAAAGAATATATGGATAGATCCTTTCAAACTTTTATTCTGTCCTAAAATAAAATGAAGTCTAGAGAAATATTTCTAACTGTAAAAATGTACTTTAGTGGCTACAGATTTTCCATGAAGACTTCCTTCCTGTCATTTTTAAAATCAATTTTAAAAATATTTGCAGAAATGAATATTGTTAACTTGACATTGGTGATTTTGATTGTAAACAAGTGAGAATGGAATAAGTTTCTTTTATAGGATGGAAAATGTGTTTACAATTTCAGTTTCATTTTTAGGCTTAAATTTTCCTTTCCTTTTTTTTTTTCCTTTAAGGGCTGTGAAGAATTCCAGCTTCCCCACTGTTATGTCTTACATAGATTCATGTTGAATATGTATTTCCCAGCATCTAGAGATGCTGATTCAGTGTAGTTGGTGACAGGTGTCTCAGTGACAAAGGCAGGAGGCCTTTAAAATCCCCAGTTTGGGAGTGTCAGGATGGGTATGACATAGACTCATGCTGACAATCTAAAATGAAGGCTCTTGGCATAATTGCTATTCATTCAAAAGTTAAGAAATGCAGCTGTATCCTCTTCACCTCTAATCCCTGCAAACTCTGCACAGGGCACGGAGACTTGTCCCCTTCACTTTTGAGTTCTGAACTGGTTGCCTTCTCTTCCTTTGGTTGTCGTAAAGGTCTGTAAATATAATGCTGCTTTTCTTGAAACTAAACATCGACTGGCCAAAATAATCTATTTGCTGGACTGGGGAGTAGTTCCTAATACAGAGAAAAGGACCTTCTGTTTTTATTCCTAAAAGAATGGATGTCTCTTTCCTTCCATGTAGTGAGGGGGGGTAAGCCACAGACTGCAGCACACCCCAAGTGAAGCACCACCAAAAATTAAATCAATAAACACAGAGGAGCAAAGCACTGATTCTCTCCAGACATGACTCACAGTCTTTCTTGAGATGACTGAAAGTATGAATTAGTTGAAGATTTGCAGGACTCTATTAACTCCTGGGCATGAGCATTAGGCTAGCTGATCTATAAGAATATGTTCATTTAGGAATCACTCTTACCTTTGTGCAGCAGAATATATAGTAAACACACATATTAATTTCTAAAAGTGGTTAAAATCAACATTAAATTGTGTAGTGCTCATGTCTTAACATGAGCTATTCACATGTTTTCTGCATACAGAGAACTATGAACTACTGACTGACATCCACAACTTAACATGATTATTGTTAGTCAGGGTCCATCATTTTATAAAGCTCTTCCATTAACTAGCTTCTTACCCTCCAACCTTATGGTGATTCTGCAAACAGGCCTCAGGCTAATAGACTTCCTTCCTTCAACCACAGCAACCAAAGACCAGAGACAACCTCACTGTCAGCATGTACCACAGAGTACCTGTCAATCATGTGATATAAACGTCTCTGTCCTCGAAACTGTAAGAGACATCACTTGAGCCTGAAACTGGGCCTGAACTTTGTGTAGAGTCTTCTTTATATTGTTTGCCAGCCTGACTATAGTATAAATATCACTTCTAATAAATCTCTAAAACAAAACAAAACAAAGCAAAACAAAACACACAGTTCATCTCAGTGTTCTCCCTTGAACTCCAAACCCCCAAACTTTCAATGATAATTTTAGGTCTTCTGGGTAAGTGGGCTCAGTTTTACACTCTGCGTTTGGGTATGGCTTTTGTTCTCACAGGAACAACTTGACAGCTGTTTCCCTTCATGCGTACAAAGTAATAAACAAATCCGAATTTTACTGTGGTTGTGAGTGAATAATTTGGAAATAGATCCCAAGTCTGATGGTTAGTCAGATTGAAAGGTCCTGATAGCTTCTTACTCAATTAAAAGAAAACCATCAGGATCAAGTAGATAGTATCAGGCCAACATTTTCCTTTTTTTTTTTCTTCTTTCTTCTTCCTTCCTTCCTTCCTTCCTTCCTTCTTTCCTTCCTTCCTTCCTTCCTTCCTTCCTTCCTTCCTTCCTTCCTTC